GAGAATTAACCCAAGAATGTATAAGGAGAGAATTAAGAAAAATTTAAAACACACAATATGGAGAAGTAACAAAACCGAGAGTCGGTTTTTTGAAAAGCTTAATAAAAAGTTAAACCTCTGGTGAGATTAGATTGATCAAGAAAAAAGGGAATTACCACAAATAGACAATATTAGCAATGTAAAAAACTAACATAACTACAGCTCCAACAGAAATTAAAATAACAAAATACTATAAACAACTTTATGGAAATAAATTAATTTTAAAGCAGAAAAGGGCAAATTTCTGTAAAAATTATAACTCACTAAATATAATTGAGATGAAATAGAGATCTTAAGACTGCCATAGCCATTAATTGAATAGGCAATTTAAAATCCTCCCACAAAAAAAATACTAAGCCCGGATGATTTTAAAGTTAGTTCTACCAAATTCAAAGAACAAATTACCTCAGTCTTCTGCAGACTCTTTCAGGGAATAGCAAGAAAAGAAATACTTATTCTGTGAGATCAGTACTACCATGATACCAAAACCAGGCGAAATGAATACAATAAAATAAAACTTGCAGCCCAATCTTACTCTTGCACATAGATGCAAAAATCCCAAACAAAGTATCAGCAAACCAAATCCATTAGTTTATCGAAAAGATAATATATTAGTTGTATCCCAGAAATGCAAGGTTGATTTAACATTAGCCAATCCACATGTATAATTTACTTCATTGATAGATTAAAGGAGAAAAACCTTTATATCTTTATATCAATATAGATATAGACTATAATATAAAACAGACACATCTTGGAAAACTGGGATTAGAGGGTAACTAAAATATTAGTAGAATGCTATTTAAAATCAGTAATTACCTTTTTTGTGGCTGAATAATATTCCATTGTATATGTGGAACATTTTCTCTATTCATTCTTACCACACACAGGAGATGATGGAGATGTTAACTAACCTTATTGAGATGTTAACTAACCTTATTGTAACCTCATTTCACAATTTATACATGTGTTAAATCATGTTGTACTCCTTAAACTTACACAGTGTTATATGTCATATCTCAATGAAGCTGAGAAAAAAAAAAATACACACAGAAATCAGTAATAAAACCGTGCGCGTATGTGTGTGTATGTGTCCATTATCACTGCTTCTATGCTACATTTCACTGGAAGTCCTAGCAATGACTAAGAATAAGATAAATAGAAATAAACTCTAAGAACTAGAAAAGAAGAAACAATATTGTATCATTTACAGATTTATGTCTGTAGAGGACATCCAAAGAAATCTAAAGGTAAATTGTTAGAAATTATAAGAGAATTTAACAAGATTATTGGATTTGAGATCAATATATACAAATCAGTTGCTTTTCTCTAACCAGTAAAAATTAGAAAACACACAAGACATAACATTTAAAATAGCAATAAAAATTATGAGAGATCTAGGAATAAATAATAGTAGATGTACAAGACCTATGTGAAAGCATTTATACAATTTTATTAAAGGACTTTGAAATGGATCTAAACAAGTGAAAAGATTTATTTATAGATAGGAGATTAAAGGTCATAAAAAATGCCACTTCGCCCCAAGTTGTTCTATAGATCGATTCATTGAAATTCCAATGAAAATCCCAACAGCTTTAGATGAATTTGACAAGCTGATTCTAAAATTTATATACAAGAGCAAAAGACCAAGAATAATGAAGACATTCCTGAAGGAAGAGATGGAAGAGGAAGAGAAGAGGAAAAAGAGAAGCTCATCTATGGCATAGGAAAATTTCTGTGAAACTGTAGTAACTGAGACACTGATTTTGATGCAGGTGTCGACAAATTGACCAGGGATCCAAAGAGAAGCCCAGAAACAGACCCACCCCTAAACAGAAACATTTATGACACAAGTGGAATTGTGCATCATGAGGAAAGGGGGAGAGGGGTCCACAAATGATGCTAGAATAACTGGTTATCAGAATGGAAAAAAGCAAAAATTAGATCCCCATCTCATGCCTTACACAGACATCACTTCTGGATGGAATAAAGATTTAAATGTAAAAGACAGCTTTAAAATTTTTAGAAGAAAATTCTTTCCGACTCAGGGTGACAAAGACTATCTTAAACAAGACACAAAAATCATTGCATTAAATTCTGTTCATTGAAAGACAATTAAAAGACAATTAAAAAGTGAACAGACAAGCCACTAATTGAGATGAGATATTTGCAATACTTAATGACAAAGATTTTAGTATTCAGAATAAATGAATAATAATGTCAACCCATTTGAAAAACCAACAAAAGACATGAAAGACACATCACTGATGAAGAAACAGGAATGGCGGACTATCAGAAGCTTAACTCCATTACTAAAATCAAACGAAGACCATATTTTATACCTCTAGATTGGCAGAAGTTAAGCAATCTGACGATATCAAGTATTGATGACTATGTAGAGTGATAGGAACAATCATGTGCAGCTGGTGGGATGTTGAAATGGGATGACCACTTTGGAAAACAATTTGAAATTATTTTGTAAAGTTGAAAAATTGTTTTGTAAAGTTGGCAATCTGAGTACTATACAACCCAACAACTTCACTCCAAGGCCTATCTCTAGAACATATTTTTCCAAACTGCTGAGTGTGAACCATTAATGGACCTAGCCATTTTTTTTTTTTAAAGGAAACAAATAGAATAGAAAGTATCAAAGGGCATCATTTATTTTAAGGTTAAATATAGTTTTGTGGTAATTTTTCTGGTATGTATGAATATAATTTGTACTGGGTTTCAGTGAAAAAAGTTTTTCTTATGAAAGTAGTGGTCAAAAGATTTGAAAAAGAGTACCTTTGGAACTCTTACATATGTACTCTGGGCAACATGCACAGAAATGTTCACAGCTGCATTATTTAGAATAACACAAAATTGGAAAAAAAATAAGATATTCACTAACAGGAGGAGGGACAATACATGATAATTTCCTAGCATAATGGAATATTGCACGACATTGAAAATGAATAAGCTATGCTTACAGGTAATAATACAGATAAATCTTAGAAACACAATATTAAATTTAAAAAGCCAGTCCCAGAAGACTGTAAAAACATGATGTAATTATAAAGCTCAAAAAAGTTCCACTAAACAGTATCATATTTAGATACATTTTTTAAAAGAAGAGCAGGATGGATATATATACAATGGAATCTTAGCTATTAAAAGAAAGGAGGTACTGACATATGCTACAACATGGAAGAACCTTGAAAACATAATGCTAAGTGAAAGAATTAGATGCAAAAGGCCACATATTTTATGGTTTTTTTAAATATAAAATGTCCAGAATAGGCAAATCCTTAGAGACAGAAGGTAAATTAGTGGTTGTCAGAGATTGTGGAAACGTTAGAATGGGAGTGACTGATAATGGGTACAGGCTTTCTTTTGGGGATGATGAAAATATTCTGGAATTGATGATGGTTGCACGATTTTGTGAATACACTAAAAACCATTGAATTGTATACTTTCAAATGGTGAATTTCATGGTATGTTAATTATTTCTTAATTTAAAACTTCTTTTGAAGATGAGCAAAGCAATGATTAAAAACATATGTTCAGGATACTGTTTACCCTGGGAGTGAAGCAGGGGGACGGGTTGGAGGAAGAGAGATAAGTGCAGCAGTATTCGTAAAATTCGAGTTCTTAAGTTACTTGTTTATGGCTGTTTATCCTATTATTATGCATTATTACATGCGTGTTATATATTTTCATACATATAAAATATAATGTAAGATTAAAAATACAGTTATTAAATGAGGTAGCATTAAGTTAGTGCCTTTAGATAATACTTCTTGAATCACCTCCAAGTCTGAGGTCTGTGCCACGCATGACTCTGGATGCAGCTGTTCTGACCCCTGGTGGCTAAAAGGGGAAGGGTAGCTGGAGGCTGCTGGGTCTGCTGAAGTGACAGGGCACACGATCTGTCAGAGCGAGCATGGCCCCAGACACTAGACAGATGTCCAGGGATCAGGCCACTGCCAGTCTCACCTCGCAGAGAAAAGAGCAAACAGCCTTGGGCTTTCCTGGTTCAGGGTTCTTTCCCCTTTTCCTCTCTGGCTAATGAGGTGTTTGTAACTCCACTGAAATCTGCCCCTGGGAGGCACCGATTGGCCCTGCCTTCTGCTTTCATCTAGATGGCCGCTCCTGGGGCGACTAACCCAAGACCAGGGGCTTGATGAGCTCATGAGCAGAAGTCTCGGGCATCTGGGGAAGAAGGGGAGGGCACCGATGCTCAGAGAACGGGTCTTCACACTCCCTTCGTTCAAGCAAACCAGCTTTCTGGAGGATTATGAACTAACGCCTGTGGGAAGAATTAGCTTGGGCACGTTAGAGGTGAGAGCGTGATAGGTAACCTAGGGAGAGCTGTCAGCATTTCAAGGTTTGCCACACAGTCCAGAAAACAGCAGGTCTCCCACCCCCACTTGGCTGGCTGGACGAGAGGGGCATTGGAATACTTAGCCCACGTAACCTGATAGGAGGAAGAAATTTTGGCAGTGGGGAACCAGGCCAGGAAGTCCTAGACATCTTAATGAACTGAACATGGTCCCAGAAGGGTGGCCTGAAGAGGAGGTCATGGAAAAGATCATCTCCAAAGCCATTAAGGCTTTATGGCTTCGGTAGCAGAGAGGCAGGTGACAGAGGAGTTACTGAGCTGGTTTAAGATCTAGGCTCTGTTGCTCACTGCTATGAGTGTCATTTAACCTCTTTAAGCTCAGGTCTTTCACCTGCAAAAGGGGTTAGTCACAGTGCCTGCTAATTGTATCAGTTTCATTGTAGTAAGTGAATTAATGCAGGCGGAGCACTCCATCAGAGACCAATAAATGTCAGCTGCTTCTGCTTTGTTGCTTAAACTCTCGCTGTGTGGAGAGTGCTCAGAGTAAAGCAAGGAATTCAACTGGGTCCTGGGCAGGCTGAGGGTTGACATGGGGATTCTCCTATCCAGAAAATCATTTTCCTCCCTCTGTCCCCAGACGCCATGGAGATGGTGCTGATCTTTCTATGCAGCCTGCTGGCCCCTGCTGTCCTGGCCAGTGGTGAGTATGCCCTAGGACCTAGACATGACAAGATGGCAGCTGGGGCTCTGAGCTATACCTGCCCTCAGCTCTCAGGCAAGCACTAGCAGTCAGGCTTGTCCTTCGTGCTTCTCTAGGCACCTCTGCTAAATGGACTTTGCTTCCCAGGAAGCCCTTTGTGGGGAGGGAGACCCGTGAGGCAACATTTGGGAACCAGGATGTATAGCTGTCCTCCTCTTGACCAAGCTTGTTTCTTTTTGCAGCACCTGAGCAGGAGAAAGAAAAAGACCCTTTTCATTATGGTAAGCAGTGTCAGCGCCCTGGGTGGGGAGGGGGTGCCACAGCTTGTCCAGGGGAGGGACAGGCACTCTCCCTGGCCCATCCCCTTCTCCCATCTCTCACCCTGTTCCTTTGGCAGACTACCAGACCCTGAGGATTGGGGGATTGGTGTTTGCTGTGGTCCTCTTCTCCGTCGGGATCCTCCTTATCCTGAGTAAGTTTCTTTGTTCCTTTGTTCACCCTATAAGAGCAGTGTCTGCACTGCTAAGCAGGAAGAGAATGGTGCAAGAGCCTGGCTGTTCCCTTTTCTGGAGAGGAAAGGCGTCTTTCAGTTTTCCCTGTTATTTCCAGGACCTAATATAGTGCTGGACACATAATAGGTGCTCAGTAAAACAGTGAAGAATGAACAAAATAAGTGCTTGATGAAATAAGCACAGATAAGAAGGGTCAGGGTGGCCCTCCAGATACTGTATCCAGCAGGGCATGGGTTGGGGAGTCACAGGAGATAAGAGACAGGGGCTTCCCTTAGCACGCTCCAAGGGATGTGCCCCTGTGTTTGTTTTCCCTGCATAAACCTGGTCTGAATGGAGCCCTCTGTACTTGCAAGATCAGGCAGACTGTGGTGCTATAGCCATCCAAGATGTCGTTGAACTTTGGTCTCAGAAGAACCCTCCTTCAACCTAGGATTGCTTCATATAGCTGTGCACTGCTCAGGTGTAGATGGTGCTATTTACCTAGTCTCATAGCCTGCACTGACTCACGGCAGCCCTGCTGTGGCCAAGCCAGGAGCCTGACCTTGAGCTCAAGCCAGGAGGATGACCTTGGATTGTTTCTTTGCCTTTCAGGTCGCAGATGCAAGTGCAGTTTCAATCAGAAGCCCCGGTAAGGATGCCATGGCTGTGGACATCTGGGTGACACAAAGAAGGGACAGGGAGGAGCCTCCTGGTGTGTGATCCAAATGAGTGTTATTTTAGATTCTTGTCTCAGAAACAGTCTGTGTCCATTGTGGTTAGGGCAGAAGTTTTGAGGATTGCCAGGCAGACTTTGAGGGTTAGCCCTTTTTTCTCTTATGAATATGGATGGGGGGAGATGGGCAAAAGGTGCTGGATTCTTGTCTGAAGGCCCTTGAGACAGTTTGGGCTTGGGAGAAGGGAGGCAGAGGGCCTTAATGTCCATCTCCTCTCTGCAGGACCTGTGACACTGTCCCTGCTTGTTTCCATTCATGAGGCTCTTTGAGCTGGGTAGAAACTTGGGCTCCCTTTCATTCACCTTCCTACTCCAACATCAAGAGCACCTTATTAGTCCACTACAATAACCAAGGGTAGCTCTGGACCTCAGAATTCCAAAGTCTGAGGCAGGACTCAACCCAAGCCCCCATGAGGCCCTAGATCACTCCTTTCCAGCAGTTCTTTTGGGGCTGTCATTGAAGGGTGTCTGTAAGTTCACTGTGCCTGACTGCCTCTTCAGTCCCAACTTCTCCTCTGTCCTGTGAGCCCCAAGGAGCATGCTGAAGCTTTCAGATGACTTGAGGCACTCCTGCACCCACAAGGAGAGTGGTAATGCTCTCTGGATTTGCCCTGGAGACCTCTGACCAAAGGGCTTGTGTCTGGTCCTTTTTTCAGGGCTCCAGGGGACGAGGAAGCCCAGGTGGAGAACCTCATCACTGCAAATGGTAACTGTCATGGCCACCTGCCCAGGTAGAATGGAAGGAGTGGGGGAAGGTCTTTGTATGGCTCAGGGAGTGTCAGTTGCCAGGTGCTATGGCCTCCCTAAATATGGCCAGACATGCTCCCATAAGGACTAGGAGAGGAGTCTTTAGGGCCTCTGCTCCTCGTTGTCCCCTCACATCCATCAAACAGGCTGCTACTCCTGACAGCTGCTATTTACAGGGCATCTGCTTAGTGTCAGGCATGATACAAAGTGCATCACAGACCCCATCTCATTTAATGTTCATACAGCCTCATGAGGCAGGCATTACTATCTGGTTGTACAACCGAGAGACTCAGAAGCTGAGGGATGTACCAAGTTCCTGTGACCAGCAAGAAGCAGGGCAACAATTTGCACACAGGTCTGTCTGACTCTAAATCCCACACAAGTCACCTCTTTGCTATATGAGTCAGGTTCCTCCAGAGTCAAGCACAGGCACGGCTCTTGCAGGGGGTAGCCCTTTGGGGTGAGAGGTCCACTTGCCACAATCTCTTCTGGTTTTCTTCCCAGCAACGGAGCCCCAGAAAGCAGAGAACTGAAGTACAGCCCTCAGGTGGGAAGGTAAGATGCTGTCTGCCTACGTCTTCCTCTGTCACCATCACTTCTTTCACTGGGGAAGAATTGGGCTAGCTTTTGCAATGGTACAACTTTCAGTATGAGCTGTGCTCTGAGGAGTCTTGTGTCTGATAGGGGTAATAAGACAGACGGGCTGAAATATCTGAGGTGCATGCACTGCATATGCACACAGTAAATAGTCAGGAAATAGGGCTTTTACACAGCCCAGTGGTCAAGTTAATAGGATGTCATCCTAGCTGCCATGTTGACATGACGTGAGATAGAATTATAGTTAGTGAAATACTTCTAATATCAAATTAGCGTACAGATAATGGCTTTTAGCGATGATTCACGAAGTTCCTTAGGGCCACTTTTTAAAATTAACATTTAATTATGAAACTTTCCAACCCTACGCAAAAGTAGGTGGATAGAATATGACATCTCCTCTCCCCAGCATTCCAGTGTTGAGTTCTCAGTATGTAGGGGCACTGTTATTAGTATCCATTGCCATTGCTCATTCTAGGTATAAGGGAAAGTAATAACTGTTTATAGTTTTCAAAATGCTGCCACATACACGAACTTACTGGAGCCTGCCAAAAGAAGTAACTAGGAACAGATGGAGTTTAGCACCATTTCATAGATGAAGAAACTGAGGTCAGAGAGAATAAGCCATACAGAAGACAGACTGGACCCAAACTCAGGTCTTTGTGGCTTAGTGTCATTTCCACGACACCCTTCTGCTACTGCCTGTCTTACTTTGTGACATACCCTTGAACATGCTGGGTGGAGCATCAGTCTTCTATTAGCTCACTTTTGTCTTTTGTTTTATTTTCATACATAATAAGGCATAATAGACAGGTATATACTTTTTTTTCAATTACAGTTGACACACAATATTATTTTATATTAGTTTCAGGTGTAGAGCATCATAGTGGTTAGACATTTATATAATTTACAAAGTGATTCCCTCGATAAGTCTAGTACACACTTGGTACCATACATAATTATTACAATATTATTGACTATATTCCCTGTGTTATACTCTATATCCGTGACTACTTTATAACTGCCAATTTGCACTTCTACTCCCTTCACCTTTTTCACCCAGCCCCCCAAGTCCCCTCCCATCTGACAACCATCAGATTGTTCTCTGTATCTATAAATTTGTTTCTGTTTTGTTTGTTCTTTTATTTTGTTCTTTAGATTCCACATGTAAGTGAGATCATATAGTATTTGTCTTTCTCTGTATGATTTATTTCACTTAAGCATAATACCCTCTAGGTCCATCCAAGACTGGTCTATACCTTTATCTTAAATTATAGATTAAAAGAGATTTCCGGATGTAAAATGTGTGAGACACCAGCTTGTACTGTGATCATAATAACACAGTGTGCTTGTGTAGCGTTTAAATTCTTTCCTAAATGTTTTTATATCCTCTTAACAGCCCCGTGGGTGGCAGGGGCCAGAACAGGGCTCATGACCTCCCTCTTCTAGATGGGGCTTGGGAGGGTCAGTGGTTCCTAAGCTCGAGGTGGCATGGAACTCAGTCTTGGAGGCAGGCGTCCCCGCTGTAGCTTGGTGTTCTGTTCATTTCTTGGCAGCCCGCAGGTCAGAATCTGGGCGTGGTGTGGGAAGGCTCAAGGGAAGGGGCCTGGAGCTAGCTAGTAGTTGTCTTCTCTTGTCTGGTTTTTTCTTTTTCTTTTTAACTGGGACTTCCTCAGAAACCCTGTTCTCAGGTCTTAGGACTATGAGCAACTATTGAAAATGTCCTGGGATAACATTCTTGGGTTTAATAATTTTCTTTCCATATCTACCAGGTTCCAGCCCTCCCAAGAGAACCCTTCCCCTGAGGTCCACCCCCTCCTATGCCTTCAAATCCTTTCTCTGCATCTCAGGCTCATCTTCCTTGATTCACTGGAAACATGGCACTTAGTATGGCCCCCATCCTGCTAGTTTTGTGGGTAGAGGGGCTGCTAAAGATAGGGATACAAGCAGATAAAGATTTCTGAAAGGAGCCAAAAGTTTTATTTTAATTTCAATTCTCTCTCTCTTCAGCCTCCAGAACCTGAAGGCAGCTGCTTGAACCTTTAGATACAAATGTTGATGCTTAAGAAAACTGGCTACTTCAGCAACAGACCTTTCCCCAGGAGAAGCCAAGAACTTGTGTGTCCCCTGACTCTTCCCTGTCCCCTTGAACACCAGTCCTCAACTTAGTGATGCAGCTAATACCTACCTTCCCATCTACAGCCTGTGGGCTCATCCACCTCCTGTGGCATGTCTGTGTGTGTGCGATGACTGTGGTCTTTGTGGCTGCTTGTCTGTGGATGGTGTTGTATCAGTGAACCTAGACTCACTTTCCTGGACTGGAGCTGAGCTGTGTCACCTTCGGCTCCTCCCTGCTTCCCCGTAGCCTCCCATCCCCTCCTGCTCCCAGGAGTCTGCTTTTTCCCTGAGAGACCAGTCCTTTCTCTTGATTTAGGGGTGGGTATAGGGGTAGGGGCATGGGTGGGAGTCTCCAGTTGTCTTGGGACCTGGGAAGGTATACATCACCTTCGTGATCATTCTTCATGGCCTCTCTTCACTCCTATTGCAAGAACCTTGCTTCCATATTCCACCCCTGACCCAAGTCTGTTCTGAGGGTCTCTTAGCAATTGGAGGTTCACAGCAAGGAGCTGGTGAGCCCAGCTATGCCTTCAGGCAGGCGACACCCCTTCACTGGTCATTTTCCTCCTGGGACTTCTACCATGGAGCCCCCATCTCCCCTGCCCCATTGCAGAGCGGCCAGGAGTCCGGGTCCAGGGCTTGTATTCTGCCCATGGGGAATGTGCCCCATGCATATCTTCTCAGCAATAACCCCATGGGCTCTGGATCCCTACCCCCTCTTTCCTACTTTCACTGCTTCCAAGACTGGTCTGCAGCCCAGCTCATCTGGATTCAGACTCCTGTCCCTGAACTGGGTCTCTGGGAGGCGATCCATTCTGTTGGGGCCAGCACTCTGGGGACAGGCAGCAGGGAAAGCAGGGGTCCTTTGCTTCTCTATCCACGGCCCATTGGTCAGGCAGCCGGTGAATCCTCCTGCACCCTTGGCTCTGCATGTCGCTGGTCAGAGTGGTGAGTGGATTGGCTATGCTACAGGTTAGAGACCAGGCAGGGCTCCCTGCAGCACTGCTGCAGAGGGAACAGCAAGAGGTCAAAGGTCATAGAGTGGAAGTCAAACTAGACCCTGTTCCTCCCGTCCATCATGTTCTGTGGAAACTAACCAAATGTGTGACAGGACTGCTATCTGTGCTATGATCTACCCTCTCACCAACAAAAAATAAAATGCCATTTGTTTCCTAGTGGCTCAGAGGTGCTTTCCTTTCTGTGAAAGAAACTCGCATAACTGAAGGGCCAAAGAGACTCTGTCCTTGGTCAGAGGGAGGAGTTGAGGGCCGAAGAGGCAGCCAAGCTGTGCTTGTTCATTCCAGCTGCTTTAATGCTCAGCCCTGTCCCCTGTTGCTTCTCTTCCCTCCCCTTCCTCTCCCCACTTTCACCTGGACCCCTCTTCTCACCCTTTCCTCCTCCAGCTCCCCTCACACTTCCTCCCCTGGTCAGTGGGGCCAGGCTCTGCCCCATGGCAGGACCTGTACCTTATGCCTGTCCCAGAAAGAAAGGAATCACAGTGGCCTGACTGAGGGCTCGCTGGCCTGGAATGAAAGGTTCTAACCTCTTCCTTTGGTCAATTCTGGAGTCACTACCTAAGGACTTGAGAAAGAGGGGTATAGGTAGGTCACTTGGGTTATGATTCAAGCCCTTAGCCTTTTATCTTTGTCCCAACACAAATACCCCTCTGTAGAGCCTTCCTGGACTTCAGGTAGAATGAGTCCCTTCTTTTTTGTGCTCCAGTCCTCAGATCCAAACTGTAGAGACCAGGCAGATAATGTCTATTTGTGAATTAGCTGTTGTGACACAGTAGATGGGACATAGGGCCCCGGGGCCACCTAGAGTGTCCTTCCAAAGACATTCCGATTTGGCTTTATAAAAAGTACTGTTTGCCAAATAAACACAGCTGCGGGACAATGCCCTTGGAGGTCTTCGGTGCCCCCACCTCTACATGTTTTGTGTGTTTTCATTGTGAGACACAATTCCTAGAGGACAAGGACTGTGTCTTATTCTAATGTAAGAATGCCTGGACCATCTTAGGGTCCAAAAGAAATCTTCATTGAGCCTGTCTAGAGTCTGCGAGTTGCTTAGAGTTGCAGGATTGCAAGTCACAGGTCCTGAGAGACTCGGGGGCTAGCCATTCCCTGCCCACCTCCTGTTCTACATCCTCGCTGCCTGTCCTACTTCTAGAAGCACCTGCTTCTACTTTTAGCCCCAACCCCCCCGGTCTCAGAGAAGACTGAGGCTTATAGTTAAGATCAAGCTCAAAGTCGTCAACCCAGTGATCATTGTGGTTAAAAAAACCTGGCCACACTTCAACTTTCTAAGTAAGCTAACGATCGCCATCTATGAACATGGGTCGTGGGATTTGCAGACATGCAGCAACTTCACAGTACAGCCAGAGAAAATCCTTAGAGACTCCAGGGTCACAAAAGATGGTATCTCCTCACATTCATTTTTAAAAATAAGACATTTAACTATAAAAACAAACATAAAGAAGGAAGTCCAATGGGGAGATTATAATGCTTCTCACAATAATAATTGTGTTATTAAGAGAGAATGATAGTTTTCTCTAGCATGTGTATAAAATGGTTATCCCTACTTTGCCATGCTCTAAGCTCCCACTTATTTCTTGTAATCCAGCATTATCTCCAAGGTAGGTAGGATATTCACATTTAAAAGATTCTTTCCGATAAATTTGCGACTGGTTTAGGGCCACACAGCTGGCAGGTGGAGGAGCCCAAGCTGTCTGTCTCCAAAGTTCTGTGTAGCACACCACGTGGCCTGGCATCCTCCAGGGGAAGGCTGATGTCCAGATGAGGGGGAGGATCATCTGGGCTGCTGAGACCACGTCTGGAGCCTGGCGGTCCCTTCCAGGCATAAACCAGCTAGACTGCTCTGGGGAGGTCCCATGGGAGGTGAGAGATCTGGAAACAAGACACATGAACAGTCAAAGAGACTGATCATCAAAATAATAATGATAAAATAAAAGCAACGAATATTTATCAAGCACTTGCTATGTGCCAAACACTGAGCTGAGGACTTCACATGTATCAACTCATTTAGAACTCACAACTCTATATGATGGTATCTCTATTTTACAGATGAGGAAACAGGTTTGGTGAGATGCATGAGTTTGCATTCCTGGTAGCAAAGCCAAGGTCCAGCTCTCTCTGGCCAGTGTCACTCTGCACTACAGAAGAAAGAACATAGGCCCATCAGGTAGACGTGAGAGGGCAGCAGAACTTGACTTCATATGGAGGAGTCCTTAGTTCCCACAGCCATGACGACCCCAAACTGAAGTGAGTTCCCATCACAGGAAGTGTTCGAGCTGAGGGAAGATGATCAGCTGATGGAATCTTCTAGGCAAAATAGACTCTGAGAAACTATCCAGCATGACCTAAGTGTCCAGGCCCAAATTGGGACAAACCCCCTACTCGCTGCCTCACCACCAGTGGGTGATCCTCTTCGCCCTCTGGTCTAGCACTGCAGAGCCAGGGAAGAATCTAGAATTCAGGCAGGGATTGCTGCTAAACTTGCATCCTCCTTCTGGACCACCTCTTTATGTAGGTGGGACAGTGTCTGTCCACTCATCCTCCAGGCACGTGACTTAAGTTTGTGACTTGGTCGGATATAGCAAATGGGACTTGATTGAATAGGAAAGCTGCCTTGCCATGCCATTTCCCAGAAGGGAAAGCTAAGTCTCCTGGTCTCAAACAGCGACCTCTGGTGTCCAGCACATTTCACATTTCACATCCCCACATCTCCCCCGCCCCTCCATGAATCCCACTTCCCAGATTTTGAAGTCTATTTACATGAAGTTGTTTGTGTTACTTAATACCACATAAAAATAGGTCATTCTGTCTTCTGGGCTCTGGAGCTGTGGCCTCCCCACTATTCTGTTTTTTTGCAGGTTGTAGGTTGAAACTTGCCAAATTGTTCATGGAAGAGAGTCAGAGGCAGAGTGCAAGCAGCAGGGAAGGTGAGGTGGGTGAGGGGGATGCCAGGCTGAAGCACATCCCAAGGTCAATAGGCTCCTCCCCTTCTTCTGTGGGCAAGGCCTGCCCTCCCTGGGATCACAGGTTGGCAGGGGTGACCAGGCAGGGCTGGGGTGGGAGGGCTGTCCAGCTCTGTCTGGTTCACCCTACCTTGTCCCTGGCTACTCTGCCTCAGCTTGGAAAGAAAATGAGGGGGGTTGTGGGCGGAGAAGGTAGATTAAGTGTGTTTGCCTGAGCCAGGGGAGGAACTTTGGAAATATGTGTCTCCAGGCCACAAAGAGGAAGAATGGTCACCTCTCGTCATTAGTATGATTCATTGCTGTCACAGCTGAACTCCAGGGGGGCAGAATCAGCCAGCTAAAGCCAACTGGCTGTTGATTTTATGGAGCCAACCCCAGCCCCGTGCCTGGTTGCACAATAGCGGGGCGCCTGCCAAGGGAGTGATGGCAGAGCAGGTGATGCTGAGATCGGATATCCTGAAGGTCTTGGGGTGGTAGGGGCTGCTGGTGGATGGGCCCCTTGCACCATCCAGAAGAGTGGGTTTCTACCTCAGAGCCAGCCTTAGAGGCACCTGATGGAGCAGAACGTTACATTACCTTGTGGTTCAGGACATTACCTTGTGTTCCCATCTTCTCTCTTGCTGTGTGAGCTTGGGCAGACCCCAGCATCTCTGTCAGTTTGTTTCTCTGCAAAATGAAGTCCTTCCAATCCATAGGGTAAGCCTCCGTTTCCTCAACTGTACAATGGGACCATCAATATCTTTCCTGTTACAGGGTCAAAGTGATACAATGAACATAATTCTACATGTAGATATTATGTTATTAATATTTATATTATCTTGTCTTCTTTCTTTGATAGCAGGGTTCCCCTTCTGTCTGCTAGACCAGAGGTCAAGTTTTGACTTGCCCACGTACCACTGCAGCTTCCTCCTCTGTAAGATGGGTGTCACAAACCTGCTTGGCTGAGTTGCTGGGAGGAAAGAAGATCAAGGAGTCATGGGCTCTTTGGAACTACTGAAAACCATGAAATGGATGGAATTGTTACTAAGGAGAGCTAGGCAGTGAAGAGTAACATTTAATAGAAACCATAATCTGAGTCCTTGCAGAGGCCAAGAAAGGTTTGGCAATCTGTGAAATAAATGACAAAGATAGCTACAAAGCCAGATGCAAGCTTTTCAGGCCACGTCAGTGGAATCCAGAAGATCATGGAGGAAAGGAAGAGGCAGCAAGGGGTGGGCTTGCTCCTGATGGTCTTCCTAGAGGTGGTGGGCAAGCCTGCAGGTGCTTTTCAGAGATAAGGAAGAATATGGTTACTGGAGGAGAAGGACTGCAGTTGGTGAGAAACAGCCTCTGCTCTAGTTTAAGCCCAGATGTGAGTTCTGAGAAAAGTCAAGAATGTATTTCTCTCCAGGGTATTCACTGTGGGAGAGGTGGGTCAAACAGGTTTGCCCTTGTCACCAGCCGAAGAAACAGAAGAAAACGTCCCCATCCCCTGCTTGCTCAGGGAGCAGAAAGGTCTCAGTGACCTTGACTCTTAGAGTACATTGCCCTTTGGCAGCTCCCAGCACCCGTGTGCCCCATGGCTCAGCTATCTTGAAGCCAACACTTAAGGAATGGACCCTCCAGGGTCCACCTCCTCCCGGGCCCGCCTTATAAGACCCCAGTGACCTTGGCATCTGTGGCCACAGCGGGAGACAGGAGCCAGCACTCCCTGAGGTTTAGGACCTCTGGGCAGCACGGATGAGGCCTGGGAACCGCCACCTTCCCTGCCGAGTGGCCATGCGTGCCATGCAGTAGAGGACCGACCCAAGCTAGGAATCAGGGCTTTCTAGGGGCTTCTGACTTCTTTCTAGCTGCAAGCCAAAAGCAGGAAGATTTACAAAGAACTTGGAGTCTAAGGCCATGCACCCTGCTGTGCAGCCCCTGGACATGAAGGCTGGTGGAGCTGGAAAGTCCCATCTTGGGGAGGCTGATGGTGAGGGCTTTTGCTTCATTGCTGGTTTTTGAGTACAGGCAGACAGAGCTCAGCTAATGTTCTGGCATGTTACCTTCCTACTTCACCAACCCAATGATGAGCACCCAGGCTGCTGCCCTGAGACTGAAGAGCCGGGAGAAAAGTGGAGGACTGCTTGGAGAAGACAGGTGGACTGAGGCATGGCAACTGAGGACACTGTCCCAAGGGGCATGACAGTGCTGAAAAGG